CATCCTATTCAAAGGTTAAATATCAATTTAGTACTTTGAATCACTAATAAAATAATCATATACTTATAATTTCTTTTCAAACTTCTTTACAATTCTTTTGACAAATTGAAATCATAATATCATACTAGTAAAATCACTCTACAATTATTCAATCACTGAGTAATAATTATTAATTGCTTAAAAAAAAATTTTATGTCAAAATAGCTTTAAAAAAAAAAAGAGGCAACTAGTTAATATGCCAATCATGTCGGGTTAATCAGGTTGCTCCTGAGTTGGTTTTTTTTACTCTGAGTCAGCCCCCATACCATATTTTTCCGGTTCACAAAGGCTGACTGGACTGGTTAGATGCGGGTTCTAGTCCAACCCGGCCAATCCTAGTGCAGTTTTTAATACAGTGATATGTCGCAATAAGTTGATATGATGTACTTCTCCTGTTCTTAATATAAGACCTATTTAACTAATTTGATTATATTAAAAAAGTTAGGTAAGTTAATTAATTATAAGAAATATCACATGTTTTTCCTAAAACATCATAATCTCTTTCTTAATATCCTCCTTCCCTCACTTACTTGATTATGGTTGAGAGAGCATCCATATGGGTAATTTAAAAAAAATTAATAAATATGAGAAATAGGTCTTATATTTAGGATCAAAATTAACTTAAAATTAGCTCATATATTTAGGATCAGAAGAGTATTTGGCTACGAAATATTAACCGCGTGATGATCTGATATATTTAGATTGTAAATTGGATTGCATGTTTTTGTGGCTTGCATATTATTTTTAAAAAAAATAATTGGAATTGTGATCGTAAAAAATAGTTTTATCACAAATATATCTTCTTGTAAAACGCAATGAACATACTTATATTTTTTTTCTTAAGTAGTGGATGGCTCAACATTTTTGCTTTTTGGAGATGGCTCAACATTTAAGAACAGTGCTACGAGCTAACCAAAAAGACGGCACAGGTAATGAGAAAGAGAGATTTGAGGATGCCATGAAAAGTTGAAAACAACAAGAGATCGGTCCCTTGCTCATGGGGAAGTGGGATGTAGAAGGTGTAACCAGCAATGTCGCATTCCCCAGAATTTTTTTTGTATCAGGAAAAAAATCCGTAAGTTTTAATTTTATAATTTCTGATTTTTAATTATACTCTTATAATTTTTTTTATTAAATCCTTGCCTCTTTTTTAATCATACGCATTAATCCCTAAATTCATAATAGGTTAATTATTACTAATGTAAATACTGAATTGACAATATGTAATTTAGCAGCAAAATACATAATAAAATAAAAAAAATTTATTGAAAAAACAAAAAATAATGAAATAAAACTTATTGATTATTAACATGTCAAAAAATAATTAGGCCATGATCGTTTTCCTTATTACATTTATATATAATATGTATTTCGTTGATTTTGATTTTGTTTATTAAATTGATATGACAATTAATCTAAATATATGCTAAGTGAGAGCCATGTCATCAATTATATTTAGAAAAATTACAAATAAGACCCCCTGAATATATGAAATTGTGATTTGGGGTCCTCAATTTAAAAAATAGCTTTAGAGGACCTGGTCCCAAATTACAAATATGAATCTTAATAAAATATCTTAAATGCCCTTCAACCAAATGACAAGTTGAATATGAAAAATGACAAGTTCACTTTAACGAATAACAACTTCAATAGACCAAATCACAACTTAACCGAGGGTATGCCAAATGACAAGTTGAATATGAAAAATAAGAAATTCACTTTAGTGAATAACAACTTCAGTAAATCAAATCACAATTTGACTTAGAGACATTTCAGACATTGCACCAATATTTCGTATTTACAATTTAGGATCGAGTCCTTATTTGCTATTTTCCAAATAATTTTTTTTTACATATTTAGGAGTCTTTATTTGTAATTTTCTCATTATATTTCTCATACAAATTATTAAATTATAAAGGGAAAATCCCAAAAAAGTGATAGCTGAATTTCAAAATTCCAAATCAGTACTAGTTACTAAACTCATAAAGAAAATGACTACATTCAAAGAGCAAATAACAACACATTTTTGTAGTAATTCTTTATTTGGAATTTTGAAATTCAGTAGTCACTTTTTTGGGATTTTCCCAATTATAAATACAGGGATACATGCCTATTATTAAGGAAATAGTGAGGACCTAATAAAATTAGAAAAAAACTACAATGTCCTAGGTAAAAGTCTTGTTATGTCAGAAAAACACTACAATGTCCTATAGGGAACGATAGGTTAATTTTTAGGAAAAAAATTTAGGTCAAATTTTTTATAATTATTATGCCAAGTTAATCACATATGACTATGAGTTTTTCTTTGTTTCATATGGATTTATAATTAAATACTAATATTTTAAGAATAAAACACATAGTCATGTATGATTAGAGAACTTAATATAATGAATATAAAAAATTTGATGTAAATATTCTCATAAATTTTGCAATAGCAATTAATTCAAATTCTGCCCTAATTGAAAAAGTTCTTCCAATATATATCCATAAAATTTAAACTTAAAACTTATTAAAATGTTATTAGTACCTTCCTTACATTTTGTCATAATTACACAAATCTCTCCTCGATTTCAAAAATATATATATTTAAATTCAAATCGTTAACTCCATTAAGAATATTCTAAAAATATGCTTTTTTTCTATTAAATTTAGAAAAAATCACAAAAAGTGATCTTAAAACTTAAAAAATTACATACAGGGATCCGTTCATAAAAACTGTTGTCATTTGTTTATCAATTGTTATCAAAACCAATATTAATATTGTAACGAGTCCATGTACAATTTTTCTATTTTCAAAGTCTTTTTATGATTTTTTTATAAAATTTATGTTAAACTACTTTTTATTTATTGATTTACCATTTATAATACTAAATCCCTACATTTTGGCTAAAACTATTTTGAAAAATTTAAGAATTTTTCTTTACCTTAATTTTAATTTTATTTTAATTTTTATAAGTAGTTATTTGTTTGATGTTTTTATCATATTGGGACCCCAAAAAAAAAAGTAATTTAGTTAATATAACCAAAAAAAATTGAATGAAAATTTAATTAATTCTTTAAATAAATATATAATCGATCAAATAAGTTATAAATGTTTGTACAAAATTTTTGTTCAAAATATTTTCTAGCCATTTAAAAGAAACTAAATAAATGAGTTTTAATATGTCATGAGGAATTAAAATTACATAATTGTATAATATAATTAAAATTTATAAATTTTACAACATATTAAGAAGTTTGAAAACACATGTACTGTAATCATTTTTTATTTTATCAAAATTATTTTCTTTGATATATATGTTTAAATAATGTTTATATTAAGGATGGATATTTTGATTAAAATAAAAGTCAGAAAGTCAAATTTAATTGTCAACTAAAAGTTAGATAAATGAAAATAAAATCTCAAATATATAAGTGAGGTGTAACATACATTTTAATTTTAAGAAAAATTTATATATATATTTTTACAATAAAGGGAAGGTTCAATAATTTAGGTAAAACAAAGGATAATCAATGTATTTTACTTAAATGCTAAAGAACATGAATCTCTTACCATTCAACCTAATCTTTGTATAAGGAATTTGAATACATGAAATGTATACAAGTTTGTTGGAATATAATTTGTATAATTTTTTGGGGGAAAAATTAGAGATAAATCCCTCATTGAAAATTTAATTGGCAAATAGAACCTAAGATGATTGATTGCATAAAGGAAGATTAGTTGCACACAAAGAATGATAACTTGTACAAAAAAAAAAGATAGTTTACATAAAACATTATTTGGATATAAGCAATTAGTTTGCACATAGGGAAGATGACTTGCACGTAAGAGAATTTCATTTGTACAAAGAGAAATTGACTTGCACATCGCAAAAAGAAAGATCATTGCACACAAAGAAAAATATATTGCACACAAGGAAAGATAAGTTGCACAAAAAGAAGTTAAGTTGTATAAAATCCTTAGGTCCTATTTGCCAATTAAATTTTTAATGGAGGATTTATGCCCAATTTTCTCATTTTTTGGTTCGTTGGTTGGGTGATAAACATCGCATCGCAGAATAATAATTAAATAGTTAGGTCATTCATAATTTATCTCTCATCTTGAACCACATGTCAGTTCTTGATATTATGAGGATAACCAGCTTGCTCTTAGTGACAGTTCAGGTAGTCTTGGCTGTCTAAATATTCCGGAGTCTGGACCATATATAGATCACACACACACACACACACACAGAGTATTATTCAATTATTTAATTTAATTGTTTATATATTAATATATAGATCATCTTTATAATTTTATTCTGATATTCAATTAAAATTTATGGGTATTCTTGTGTTTGTTACACTGTAGCTATTATATAAATATTAATATATTATTCTTGAACTTATATTACTAATTATAGATTAATTAACCTACTTTTATGAGCCCCGTGCTTTACACTAAGTCATGAATAATGTAACTTTTTAATATTATAGATTTTGTATCATCCGAATTTTATGCCTTTAGGAGAACAAGGAAAAATAATTATTAAAATTTACTGCTTACTTTTTTTAATAATTATTTTTTCTTGTTCGCTTAAAAGCTTAAATTTGAGGATGTTAGAGATTTTATCTTATATATATAAAAATATATATTATACATAGACTATTTTTAAGAAAATTAAGAAAAATGTTTTTTATTATTAATAAATTTGTACTTTGCTAAATTTTTCATTTTATATTGGTTAAATATACATAAATAAATTAAACACATAATGTTAGATTAATCTATTTAGCTTCCTCTTTTGATTAAACAATGCTGTGTAAATGATATAAATGTATAATAGGAGCATAATAATAATAATAATAATAATAATAATAATAATAATAATAATAATAATAATAATAATAATAATAATAAATGCAACAACTTTTCAAAGCTGAATCACAAATCAATAGCCACAATACACACAATATATGAATGCTAAACTGAAGCTTCCTTTGATGCGTCTTCTTCCCCCTTTCTTCTCTCCCTCTCTCATTGTGGCAAGATGAAGGTCGATTTCATCATTGAGCTTCTCTGGGGGAAAAACAGCCCAAACCCTCAAATTATCCCAAAACTAACCCTACTCTCCATCTTCGCCATTCTTCTTTTCACAGTTACCCCACTGAGTTTCCCCTTCTTTGGATCTCTGAAGAGAATCGTGTTCACATCACCACCAGAACAGTCATCTTCTTCTTCTGCAGATTCAATACTCTTGCCTTCTTCTTTATCTTCTTCAGGAAACAAGTGTGATATTTTCAGTGGGGAATGGGTCCCAAACCCAAAGGCTCCATACTACACAAACACGAGTTGCTGGGCGATTCATGAGCACCAAAACTGCATGAAATATGGCAGACCAGACACAGAGTTCATGAAATGGAGATGGAAGCCAAATGACTGTGAGCTTCCCATATTCAATCCCTTTCAGTTTCTTGATATTATGAGGGGCAAATCCATGGCTTTTGTTGGAGACTCTGTCGGCAGAAATCAGATGCAGTCCCTCGTTTGCCTCCTTTCAAGGGTAAGTAATAGTTATCATTCATTCAGATTAAACTTCTCAAATGTGCCTTTTTTTTTCCCCCTCTGTTTCTTCTTCTTCATCTTCTTCATGTCCATAATTTCTTCTGTTTATAATTGCCTGAGTGGTCCATGAAATGGGGAAGAAGAGGTCAAGCTTTATCGCAATTTTTGGGTTTTTTAGTATTTGGTTTTTATGAGAAAATGACTGAGTCTGTTAAGAAAATTTTCTGTTTGAAGGTTTTATAATATATTTTTATATACACCTAGAAAATACCGATAATTGAACTCAAGTCTTTGTTGCCCAATAAAATTTTCTAATAGGCTTTTTCACCGATTTTTCAGGTATTTTTTATTACATAATTTATCATCACCTACATAGCACCTAATAAATTTTTAGAATATACCACTCTAATTCCTAATATAAATAATTTATAACATATTCTCGTACACTAAAAAATGTATTAAATTGAGAAATTTTTTAAATTTTATCCTTATTAAAATTCTGTCTCTCTTTTTATATTTGATCACTCTCCTCTTTCACTCTCTCAAATGAGAATTAAATAAGAATAAAATTAAAAAACAAACATTAAATATATTACAAATGACTTATAGGGTTCAAATCTGACGAAGTGCGTGTACCTGAATTTTAAAAACATAAACTGAGATCTTATGAAGTATATTACTGAATTCATTCACATCGGATACCTTCTTATTCTAATTTCTGTACATACAAGTAGCCACTTCTCTTAATCATTAGTCCTTCTTACATTCAAGTGGCCCAAAATTATTTGTCTTAGCTTAATTATTACTCTCTCTGTCTGTGTGTTATTTTAACTGCTCCTAGAGAAGTTAGTTGACCTAAACCATCAAATAATTCAAGGGTTTAGGTAAATGATATATATGTGGCTGTAACATCTGTGTGTCTGTGTGTAACTATGTACATATAAAAGCATGCTAAGGAATCGAATCTTTTCCTCGGAAAACTACATCAGATTTTGCATACTTGTCCACCACGTTCCTTAACTACACCACGTGAAACTAAATCAATCCTTGCTTATTTTATTACTAGCCTTCAATAGTTTTTGCATTTTTCAATATTGAAAAAAAATTGGATATCGTGAAGGAACTGGTACGTTATTCATATAAAATTATCACTAGCTATTAGATTAGATTGGAATGGTTTGAAGGCCAGAGAACTTATGTATAAAAAGCTATAACACTTTCTAACTTATTTAGAGTATTGGTCCTATTTGTAGCACAGAATATTTCCTTTTTTGACTTAGAAATTCGAACTCATATTGCTAATTTTAATTTTTATCTTTAATTAGAAAATATGAAGAATATTGCGAATAGAAATATCATGACATGGTACAGCTCAAAATCTACTTCATATATATCTTCGATATTTAATATTTTGCGCGTCTACATAAATGTCTAGCAACTAGTCATCAAAATTTTCTATTAGAAAGTACAATGAAATTTCTTAATATAACATATTAGCATGTGAAATTTTATAAAGTCTCTTCCCTCACTTCCAATTAAAATTAAATTTTTATCCCAAAATATGATAGACAAAGTTCTATGTACACTGTAAAGGATAATCTATTTCTGACATTATTACGATACAACTATTTTGTTTGCATTTTCCGGCAACAGCTAGCTAGTCTTGAGGTTTGAGCAATGAGTTAAAGTCTTCTTTAATCTATATTAATGTTGACTTAGTCAATGATAGATGGTTTGAAGTTCTTTTCAATTGATTGACCTCCTCGTTAGATGAGGACCACCTAGATATTATGAACAAACCTGGGTACAGGTATCTCATTCATTGGCCCCAAAAATTTAACGTTTCTTTTCACTCGATTGACCTCCTCGTTTCATTTTTAAGGCTTCGATGGTTGTATTATCTAAAGCCCTCCAAAAAGTAGAAGAGGTTAAGATGTCACATTTCAAATGGTCGCATGTCAACTTGTTTTTGACAACCCAACCAATTCCTTTTAAATAATAGGGATTAATAATTTGTGAGAGTCTAACTAAAGCAAGCCAAGACCATGCCCTTCACAATTAAAACAGTTTCCCTCATTTATATGTTATATAAAATCTAAAGAACAGGTCCACTTATATGAATAGTATCAATTTATTATAAATCCTATCATAATATTGCATATTGACAGAGTTTTAGAACAACTGTTAGATATTTTTGGGAAATACCTGTCAAGACTCTTCAAATTTAAGGAAAGATTATATTTTACTGTCATCTATATAATTAATTTTCATTTCAGATATAAGATTCAACTCAAGCATAATTTTAAAATGATTTTCATTTGTTTATCTAAAATTATTAAATTACATAACGATATGAAAATAATAATATAGAGTATATTGTAATATTTATGTCAGAATTTGAAGGACTAAAATTAAAACTCTAAACCTAGAGCCTTCATGTAAAAATAAGACGGAAATTATAATTTGGTTTGTGATTGGACTTATTCAATTCCATAGTTAACTAACTTGTCAAATTAATGTTTCTTTTTTTCTTTTTTTAAAGGCTGAATGGCCAATAGATAACTCAGAAACACAAGATGATTATTTCAGAAGATGGAAGTACCCAAGTTACAACTTCACTGTAGCTGCATTTTGGACTACCCATTTGGTGAAATCCACAGCACAACGAAACCCAAATGAACTCATCCACGTTTACGTCGACGAGGCCAATGAAAAATGGTCAAAAAAGGTGGAAAACTTCGACTACATCGTCATCAATGGAGGCCACTGGTTCGACAAGCCCATGATATTCTACGAGGAACAAAAAATCATAGGATGTTACCACTGCTTCATCAGCAACATCACCAGCAAAACCAGGTTCTTCGGTTACAGAAAAGCCCTCAAAACAGCACTTCAAACTCTAAACAGCTTAGAAAACTTCAAGGGCACGACGATCCTCAGATCATACGCACCATCACATTTTGAGAATGGGCTGTGGAACGAAGGTGGGGATTGTGTGAGAAGAGAACCATTTAAAAGAAATGAGGTGAAGTTAGGAGGTGAGGATTTGGAGTTTTATAAGATACAGATGGAAGAAATTAGGGTTGCAGACGAAGAAGCAAAGAAGAAGAAGATGAAGAAGAACAAGTTTAGGGTTCTCGATGTAACAAAAGCGATGCTTATGAGGCCAGATGGTCATCCAAGTAAATATGGGCATTGGCCGAATGCGAATGTGACTTTGTATAATGATTGTGTGCATTGGTGCTTGCCTGGGCCTATTGATGCGTGGAGTGATATGCTTTTGGAGATGTTGAAGATGGAAGGTGGGAATGATCATCATTAGCTTTAATTAATGAATTAATTGGCATCACTTTGATGGTCCAATCTTATAAATATTATCATAAATGTGTGTCACACGATTTCAAAAATAGTGTCCATAATTCAATATTGCAATTTATAATTTGCATCACTTCAATTTTTTATGCAGTTATTCTCGATTCAAGGATTATTAATTTGATCCAACCGGGGTTACTCTTTTAAGGTGATTTTTTTTTATTAATTTTAAAGTTCAAACACTTAACCTTATTTAATGAAGGAAGTCAGGTTTCTTTCACTCAACATAAATATCACTGAGTACTCTTTACAATAGAAAATTTGATTTATTAGATCAGCAATGGACGAAAAATTTTACTCCTCTCCTCTATTATATAAGGTCATTTTTTGGTCCAAAATAAAAGTCCAATTTAATAATATCCAGAACATTTAATACTTTTTCTATTTTGTCCTGCTGCACAATTAAATATTATAAGTGATTAATTCATTATAATTAACGTATAAATTTGAACAGCACTAAATTTTTTTTAACATATATTTGATGATGTAATTTCCATGTAACTACTGATTTATATTTGCCTACTGTTGTTAAACTAACCTTATATTTTTCTTAAATTAAACTACTGATTTATATTTGCCTACTGTTGTCAAATTCAGGATTTTATCCAAGCGCGTTGTGTAATGGGCTAAGAACAATATGATTAGCGATCTTCGGATAGCAAAGATTGGGCTAGAAGAGGTGACTATTGGGCATGATGTTATTGGGCTTATGAATTTGGGTTTACATGAAAGAAATGGTGTATATAGACATGGCATGAAGAGTTTCGGACTAACAGGTCAAATCTAGTAGAATAGGTTAGTCCCTCACAATATAACAAATCAAAGTTTGAATCTCCTTTGAAAGAGATATTCACATATAGTTTCCAACAATGCCTCGAATAGAATTACTTTTAATAGAAAAATACCTAAGGTGAAGGAAAAAGGAGGGTTTTGGAGGCAGTAAAGATTAGTACTGTGAGGACAACTCTTTGTTGTTCTTCTCTTTGTCCCCTGGCTATTGTGATTTTCATTTTATCTATTAATGCTTCTGGTTCTCTTCATCTCTTGGTATTATAATTCTGAGAATTGTTATATATATATATATATATATATATATAGCCTCTGTTTTTTATTTATCTTGCAAATTCTATCTATTAAGCTCTCATTAGAAAGAGTAATCACAACACTTTGCGAGCGATGTTACCATTGGGGTAGTTTATATATTTGACTAAACTAAACCTATATAATGGACAAGGGAAGGCTGCTCAAATCAGGACATTAAATGTAATGCTATCTTTATGTTCTTCATGTTCAGTTGACTAATTTAAAAAGATTAAAAAATTACTATATAACTTAATTATAACATATGTTATATGATCTCTCTAAAGTGCTTATATGTATTATTAAATTATATATCAATTTATAAGTAAGACAAATTAGTTTGGATAAAAATAATACTTTAAAATAATTTAGTAACTTTCTTAATCTTTTTAAATTAATCAACTAAGTCTTATATTAAGTAGGTAAGTATTTTAGAATGTTGAGGCCAATTATTATACACTTACATATCCAATTAAGAGCATTTTTGAAAAATCCTTATTAATTACACCTTCAAAGACAAAAAATGCCTTATAATTTTTAAGTTGATATTTCAGAAAATAAGCCTTATAATTTTGAACGGAGATAATATTTTTTTTCTTCTGTTCATAAGATATTATAATTTTTTCAATTCTTAGATATTCTTCGGTAGCGACTAATATGTTGGAGCAAAAAGATAAGCATGTTGGATGTATATTATTGATGTCCCTCACACTTATATCATATTGATTATTCTTTTTGACGTGATCAATCAATTCAAAACCAACCCTTTATCTTGCTTTTTCCAGGTGCTTCTTTATTTTAAAATTTTTCAATTTTTATCAAAAAATCATAATTTTTTGTACCAAAGATAATTATATTTTTAATAATAGACTCATGCTGTTGTATTCTATCTATCTATCAACTATCAATCATGACCTTAGAGACCATTCTTCTTCAGAAGGATAATATCTATCCCAATTGCTATATTGATATTAATATTTTTTAGGCCTTAATATAAATAATTAATTCTTCAACTGAGGCTTATCTTGTCCGTTTCCGAAAAGAAATTATATATAGAGAGAGAGAGAGAGAGCGCATGCATATAATATTAGCTGCCACTTTAGTTCTTAAGTTGTGGTTCTTAGCAAGCAGGATTTTTTAAGAAAGCAAATATTTAAAATTTAATTTAACTTTTTGTTTTGTTTTTCTGGATGTTAGTCATGGTTTTAAATAAGGGTAAATTGGGAAAAAATCATTTTCAAAAAAATTTAATAACTTAAGCACTTCTCATTTAATTTGGGGAAGTGATTACAAGTATCTTATATTAAAAATGCATATGAACGATATATCAAAGACCTTTTGAATTTGAATTAGCAACTAACAGAACAATCAAGCTGTGAAAGTATTCATAGCATAAGAATTTTTTAGTCATTATTTATATCTTTTCTAGATCACTATTATTAAAGTTTGAATCCATTGAATGAGACAAGGAATAATTGTTTCTTACTTGCATGGGATGCCATCATCTTTTTCCCCCCTTAATTTATTACAATTGTTTCTTACTTTCATGGGAGTATTTTACTTTTCTGTGTTAATGTCATTGACCAATCTTCATTTATAATTTGTTTTAATCTTGTCCCTATATAATAATCATATAAAGAAAGATTATATTTTCTAATGCCAACATAACGCCAGAGAGAAACGTTATACCACCAGAATTATATAATCTCAAAACTTTTTTCTTTTTTTTTTTCGTTTTTGAATTCTCATTTGGTTGAATTTTTACATTTATGGGACTTGATTAAAATACATTAAATAATGAGGGCACAAAATTAAATTATTAAATAAGTATAATTAAAATTAAGATGAAAATACTCTCCAGTCTTAAATATATGACCTAATTGAGGAATTGATGTTGATGTTATACATAAGATCTATTTCACATGCTTATCAATTTTTTTTCCAAATTAATCATATTAATATTCCCTCAATAATAATCAAGTAGGGAAAAGAGGGAGGAAATTGAGAATGATGCTTTGGGTGTTTTAGAAAAAATATATCATATAAATAATTTAACTAATATCTTTAATTTACTTAAATTAGTTAATTATGTCTTATATTAAGAAATGAAAAAGTATATTTTAAGAAAATTTACATGTCCTCTGTGATCTTCGTTACAATATATATAATGTTCCTCTAACACCCAAAAACAAAAACTATATGATTTATTTACCCTATCTTTATTGCTAATACTTTTTACCCCCCAGTTAATTATTTTATGATAAAATCTTCAAATTCGGAATACATGAACTTTGATATGAATTTTTGATAAACTCCTTATCAAAAGTTTTAAAAAAATGCTGGCATGAAAATTATACCAAAAATATCTATCTTTCCCTCTCCAAGGAATCCATGCATTCATTCAAGTATCTAATTATATTATCAGCGAATGGATCTTGAGTTTTCAAGGAAGGTGTTAATTAATTTTGTTTTTTAAGATTTGTCTTGTAATTCATAATTTAAAATACAAATAACTATGGAAAAAAATATTTTTAGATGAACTTAATGACTTAACCATCTTTCTTTAATTTTAGTGAGGGAGTTGGATACAGGACCTGGTGAATATCATGATACACTGACTGTTTAATTTGCCTTAGTTTTCACTCCTTTGATTTTGAAAAAACTGCTATAAAGTTCTAAGAAAGAAATATGGTTATTAAAAGGTTCGGTGATAACAGAATAATATGTAATAACAAATTTTAGTATAGAAAATATAACTTGTCTCTTCTTACTAAAATTTTTTGATAATTATTTTTCTTTCTTTTGATGCCAATTCCTTCTTCTTCTTCTTCTTTTTTGGTGAAATGTCAATTCCTTCTTTAATTTATCCTTTTGTCTTTTTGTTTCATTTAGTTACTTTCTGTGTCGTTGTGTGTTTGGGTTTATTCCCGTTTGTTTCTTCAGATCTTTATTCTTAACATCAAGACTTTACGTACCTCAACTTTCGTGGCTAAAGGCATTTCATGTTGGGGGAAAAAATTAATATCAAATCCATATTATATACTCTTCCGGTCTTTAATATAAGATCCATTTAATTAATTTGATTAGATTAAGGAAGTTAGGTAAGTTAGTTAATTATAAGAAATGTGACACGTTTTTTCTAAAATACCATAATCATCTTTCTTAATACCCTCTCTTCCTCTTCTACGTGATCATGGTTGAGGGAATATCCATAGGGATAATTTAGAGAAAATTAATAAACATGATAAATGGATCTTATATTTAAGACCAAAACTAACTTAATAACCGGGTCCTATATTAAGGATGAGAGGAGTATATTTATATATATTATCTTTGTGTGCATGTATATATGTCAGTGTGGCCCTCAAGACTCAGAAAGAACTTTCCTCCTTTTAAAAGTGTCTGCTGGGCCAACATTATTAAGAACCAAGCCAGCTGTGTGTGTCTATATTTGTTGCGTTGTTGTTGGCAATATTAGCATTGCCATGTTATCACTAGTGGACACGGTTAATACCGATAAGGATACGGTCTAGTAGAAAGAATTAATTTCTCATAATATAACAAACTAATATTTGAATTTCTGTTGGAAGAAGTATCCATATTTAGTGCCTGATAATGTCTCGAATAAGATTGCCTCCAATAAGAAGATATCTATGTTTTAACCAAAAAAAAAAGTAGACGCGGTTAGTTTCTTATAATATAAAGAATTAAAATTTAAATTCTTGTTAGAAGAAGTGCCAATATTTTTTTTTAGGTTATTTCTTTAGGTGTTTGTGTGATTTTCTGAGATGAGGCTAATTGACGCTGCATTTGAAATTTTCTGGGACCTCAAAAAAGAATATTTATTTACCAGCAAGAAACTTCAAAAACATTCTCCTTAATAATTGATCTCCAGCGGTTCCTGCTTCTCTATCTTTTTTCTTTAGCAATTACCGTATTAATTAATGTGTTCTTTTTATAATATCAAATGAAACATGCGTTTGGTTAAAAAAAAAGGAAAGATACCCCT